GTGACAGAAATGAATATGTGTACTTTTGTGAATTATAAAAACCAACACAAACACACATACACATTTGACCGTATTAGCTTTTTTCTCCCCACTACAGCATCCCCTATCACAGAATTCCCCATCACAACGTCTCCCCATCATATCATCTCCCATCACAGCATCCCCCATAACAGCATCCACCCATCAAATCATCCACCAATCACAGCATCCCCATCACAACATCACCCATTACAGCATCCATCCATCACTGCATCAACCCATCTAAGCATCCACCCATCACATCATCCACTCATCACAGCATCCACCCATCACAGCATCCATCTATCACAGCGTCCCCCATAACAGTATCCCCCATAACAGCATCCACCCATCAAATCATCCACCAATCACAGCACCCCCATCACAACATCACCCATTACAGCATCCATCCATCACTGCATCAACCCATCTAAGCATCCACCCATCACATCATCCACTCATCACAGCATCCACCCATCACAGCATCCATCCATCACAGCGTCCCCCATAACAGCTTCCCCCATAACAGCATCCACCCATCAAATCATCCACCAATCACAGCATCCCCATCACAACATCACCCATTACAGCATCCATCCATCACTGCATTAACCCATCTAAGCATCCACCCATACATCATCCACTCATCACAGCATCCACCCATCACAGCATCCATCCATCACAGCGTCCCCCATAACAGCATCCCCCATAACAGCATCCACCCATCAAATTATCTACCAATCACAGCATCCCCATCACAACGTCCCCGGCAATAAATTAACCTCCACCCCACTAACTAGCACACCATCACATCCTCCTCCCATAACACAGACAGGCAGACAGGCAGGCAGGCAGGCAGTCAGGCAGGCAGGCAGGCAGGCAAGCAGGCAGGGGCGCGCGCATACACACACACACACACACACACATCCCCGCGCTTATTAAAAAAATGTGCTAAATACCTCTCTAGGAAAATATTCCAGCGTCCTCTGTTACGTCAGCCAGTAATTAATATCTTTAATTAAATACATATTTTTTATTTTTTTGAGACCCTAACAGATTACTACAAAATTTACTATAAGGTTCCCGAATAAAAAAAATTACCCCGTGCTACAAAATTAAGCATCGAGACATTACTCACTGGATCTTTGACCCCCCTATAGAAAAAATAATTAGATGTTGATGTAATTATCTATCCGCTGTTTATATATTGATACAGTACTTAATATACACCGTATGTATGCACTAATAATACCTTATATCTTTAGATGGGTAGCTTAAGAAATATTAAACTATTAAGAGACACGCAGTTAAATATAAACCCCGACAGACAGACATAGTTAGTTTAAACATAGTGTAAACTGACAGCCACACATGTACTGTAGAGTATTTTCAGGTTGGGTCTCAAACACATTAAACACATGTGATGGGAAGTGAGTGAATCGAGCGGGTCGATGTGGGTCACAGTTCAACGATATGGTGAAGCTGTGTAAACATGGTTGATTAAATGCGAGCGTGTGCGTGTGAGGGTGAGTGTACGTACATGATGGTGTGTGCGTGTGAGGATGATGGGAGGGGGTGCGCATGTGTGCGTGTGAGGATGATGGGAGGATGAGTACGTACATGAGTGTGTACGTGCATAAGGGTGCGTACGTGTGTGTACGTGCATAAGGGTGTGTACGTGTATAAGGGTGTGGGCGTGTAAGGGTGAGTGTACAGCCAGGGTCAAAAGTTCGTGTGAAGCAGCATCGACCCTAAATGAGATGAAACAACACACCCGCACCAGATGACAGTCAGGGTAAGTATGTTAGGAGACTCATTCCCGTGACTCACTTTCAGTTTTCAAGAACTTTTTACCCTGACTATACAGTGAGGGTGTGTACGTATGTGTGTGTGTGTGTGTGTGTGTGTGTGTGTCTGTGTGTGTGTGTGTGTCTCTTTTGCGTTTCCTCTATTAATATATATTGATGTGCCTTTCTAAGAGAGTAAAACAAACTTTAATAATAATAATAATATTCTGTCAGTAACATTCTAAAATTATACTAACAATAAAATACTGAAGCGCAAATTTTCCATGAAAAAATTGCAGGAAAAATGGTAAATATATCCCAGCAGCTTGAGATCCTAACCTGTAGTCTTTTACACTTCACTGGTGTGTACGCTGGATTTTATTATTTTTATTATTTTTATTTTTATTATTATTATTATTATTATTATTATTATTATTATTATTATTATTATTATTATCTTTATTATTATTATTATATTTATTATTATTATTATTATTATTATTACTTTATTATTATTATTATTATTATTATTATTATTATTATTATTATTATTATTATTATTATTATCTTTATTATTATTATTATTATTATTATTATTATTATTATTATTATTATTATTATTATTATTATTATTATTATTATTATTATTATCTTTATTATTATTATCTTTATTATTATTATTATTATTATCTTTATTATTATTATTATATTTATTATTATTATCTTTATTATTATTATTATTATTATTATCTTTATTATTATTCTTATCTTTATTATTATTATTATTATTATTTTTATTAATATTTTTATTATTATCTTTATTATTATTATTATTATTATTATTATTATTATTATTATTATTATTATTATTATCTTTATTATTATTATTATTATTATTATTATAATTATTATTATTATATTTATTATTATCTTTATTATTATTATTATTATTATTATTATTATTATTATTATTATTATTATTTTTTTTTTTTATCTCTGGACACTGGGATGGACATATGCAAATCAGTTTTAGCCCTCCATCTGCACAGATAATAATTGTAAATAACACACATGATAATCATCTCCGAACTCTTACACATAATCTAACTAGTTATATAAACAAAATTTATAACAGGTGTGAAAAATATAAAAGTTTTGTGAAAGTCATGAAGGGTCTCGTATTGATCAAATGTACACGGAACACTTCTAGATGAAACCGATTTCTGCATCCTCCGCGAAACGCCTTATTCGTCCTCAACAATAATTTCTCATTCATTAATCGTCAGAAGCTACTGCTGTTATGTTCCCAACTCCCCTAAATGATCCTATTAGTTTCCTTAGGTGGGTAGCGTCACGTTACAGGCCAAATGGGTCCCAATTTTAATAGACCGTAAAGTAACAAAACCTTACGATTAGTGTAATGGACCAACCTTAATCAACAGCAGTCCTAAATGGACTCATTTGTATTGGTTAGGTTAAGCTGGTTTGTGGCCTATGAGAACTGGGGGCCCCAATCACCTACAGCCACCTCTCTATGCCCGTCGTTTGTCAACAGTTCACCATCAATCAACACCCGTCATAAAAGTGTGTTGTAACTCCTTCAGATGATCTCATTTGATGTTTCCCTAATAAGACTATCACACGCATCCAATTAATTACGCCTAAACAAGCGCACCACATCCAGCCCTCCACCCCTCCCCTACACCATCAAGGGTATCGCCATCACCATCGACAAACATCCCTCACTCACCCTACTCTTTAAACCAACATTTAAGACCCATGAACCAAGCCAAGAGTTCCCCCCCCCCTCCCCCCACACACACAGGCGAGAGGGGATGTGTGAGAAGTACTGGGAGATATTTTAAGACAAGCGACTGACTAAACTTAGGCTCTAGACACAGGTGGTGGGACGCCTGGCAGAAGAAGGTTGGACCAGAGGCTGAAAGTGGAGGAAAATACAGTCAACAGAATTAACACAAAATAGAGACAGGAAAAAATGGAAAGAGGATGAAAACACCAAGAAGTATCGTTTGGGTGTTTATAGAAGCATCGGTACAGGAAATGGAAGGGTTGTGGATGATTGCAGTGGGCAGCTGAAAGATGAGTGGAGGCAGGCGGGGAGTGAGAGGAATGAGAATGAGGGGAGGGGGGAAGGGGAGAGAGGTCGTGTGTAAATTTGCATGTAAGGTGGCTTTGGGCGGTGCGGGTCAAGAATTTTGTTAGCGAATAGTGTTGGGGGAGTTGTCGGGTTAGGGGAGGGGGGGGGGGAAGGGCATTCGCTTGTGGTGTCAATATTTTGTGAAGTTTTATACAAGGATATGTACATCTGGGGTTAGAATGTTTATGTGATGTATTGATAAATTGAGGTGTTAAGTATGTGCTCCTATAATCAAACAGAGTCAGGTTGGGTAAAAACTTATCATTAATCAATTAGAAAAAAAATCAATAAATAGATTGTATCATAATTGAATGAAAACAAGAGGACACAGGAGAAATAAGAAATAAAAAACCTCAAGATAGCTTAGTTCCCCAGCGAGTAGTTTTCTTTATAACATTTTCCTGGTGTTTAATCCCCTCTCTCACACATCTTAACAATGAAGTAATTAACTTAGGATCCGATAAAAACATGAGTCAAGAGGTAAGACGGTGGTATTGGGTAAGACTGTACCTCTTACTTTCAGTGACACAGTAACTCGATACGTCATTGCAAAATCATTATTGAGTTGGTGTCATTCTCCCCTTTACTTTGTCATCTCGGAACTTCATAATCCCCTTCAGGATGTGAACCCCTTCCCCAGGACTCCACAACCACACCCAGGACTTCACAGCCTCCACAGGACTTCACAGCCTCCCCAGGACTTCACAACCTCACCCAGGACTTCACAGCCTCCAAAGGACTCCACAACCACACCCAGGACTTCACAGCCTCCACAGGACTCCACAACCACACCCAGGACTTCACAGCCTCCACAGGACTTCACAGCCTCCCCAGGACTTCACAACCTCACCCAGGACTTCACAACCTCCCCAGGACTTCACAACCACACCCAGGACTTCACAGCCTCCACAGGACTTCACAGCCTCCCCAGGACTTCACAACCTCATCCAGGACTTCACAGCCTCCACAGGACTTCACAGCCTCCACAGGACTTCACAGCCTCCCCAGGACTTCTAGCCTCACCCAGGACTTCACAGCCTCCCCAGGACTTCCTGGCCTCCACGGGACTTCACCAGCCTCCCAGGGATTTCACAACCTGCCGGGACTTCACAGCCTCCACAGGGACTTGCAGCCTCCACCCCAGGACTTGCAGCTCCCCAGGGACTTTGGCCTCCCAGCACTTCTGCAACCCCTCACCCAGGGACCACTGGCCTCACGGGACTTCACAACCTCCCCAGGACTTCTACAGCCTCACCCAGGACTTCCACAGCCTCCTGGGGACTTCCACAACTCATGGGACATCTGGCCTCCTGGGGGACTTCACGACCTCACCCCAGGACTTCACAGCCTCTGGGGACTTCTGGCCTCACCCAGGACTTCACAGCCTCTGGGACTTCACACCCCTCACCCGGGACTTCTGGCTACCCAGGACTTCCCACCCAGCCTCCATGAGTTCCCACAGCCTCCCCGGGACCCCCACAGCCTCACCCAGGACTTCACAGCCTCCCCGGGACTTCACAACCTCACCCAGGACTTCTGGCCTCCCCGGGACTTCACAGCCTCCCCAGGACTTCCACAACCTCCCCGGGACTTCACAACCTCCCCGGGGACACAGCCTCCCCGGGACTTCACAACCTCCCGGGACTTCCTGGCCTCCACCCTGGGACTTCACAGCCTCCCTGGACTTCACAGCCTCCTGGACTACAGCAGCCTCCCCTGGACTTTACAGCCTCCCCAGGACTTCACAGCCTCCCAGGTTTCACAGCCTCCCCCAGGACACAGCCTTCTCCAGGGTCTGGCCTCCACAGGACTGCGGCCTCCCCAGGACTTCACAGCCTCCCCCAGGACTTCACAGCCTCCCCCAGGATTTCAAAGCCTCCCCCAGGATTTCACAGCCTCCCCCAGGACTTCACAGCCTCCCCCAGGACTTCACAGCTTCCCCCAGGACTTCACCCATTCCTCATGTGATTTTTATTTTCCTGCATGACATCAATTTGTATCATATAAACTAAAAAGACATCAACACTGACCAACACCCAAACGAAGGTGGTGGTGGTGGTTGTAGTTGTATTGATGGTGGTGGAGGTGACGGTGGTTGTGATGGTGGTAGTGGTGGTGGTTGTAATGAGATGGTCTTGGTTGTAGTGTGATGGTGGTGGTTGTAGTGTTATGGTGGTGGTAGTGTGATGGTGGAGGTAGTGTGGTAGAGGTAACGTGGTGACGGTAGTGTGGTAGTGGTAGCAGTGGGGTGACGGTAGTGTGGTAGAGGTGACGTGGTAATGGTAGTGTGGTAGTGGTAGCAGTGGGGTGATGGTAGTGTGGTGGTGGTGGTGGTGTGGTAACAGTGGAGGTGTGAAAGTGTGGTGGTAGTAATAGCCTCAAATCTCTTTCACTTTACGTAGGCGAGCGAAAAACAAATACTGTAGTAGCTATGGGGAGGGAGGGAGGGGGGAGG